CCCCCCTAAAAAGGGAAAATAAAAAGGGTCGCACCTCAAGGGGTGTGACGTAGACAACCTACTGTAACAGTCCAGCCCACAAGTGATATTGTCAGTTTTGGGCCTAGGGCCGCACGACTTTTAAAACGAGTCATTAGAGTCTAAGGTCTGTTTACTTATATACACAACATTTCTTCTGCATTTTGTCGATGTGGGATTCGCCTGGGGTGTCACATAGTGGCTCTGATACCATATGTAACAACCCAGCCCACTAGTAAAATTGTCCGCTTTGGGCCTAGAACGACACAACTTTTAAAACGCATCACTGGAGACTAAGGTCTGTTTACTTATAGACCCGACATCTCTCTCGTATTTTGTCGATGTGAGATTCGCCTAGGGTGTCACACCTACCCTAATACAAGCATTAGTGGTTGCTTTCATAGCTCGAACTTGTGACGTATAGGTCACACAAAGACAACTTTATCGTTGCTCCAAAGCTCCCCTTATTTAATTCAGACTAGATCGCCCAAATGTTATCTGTTGTTGTTGTTGTTGTTGTCAGGCTAATGAAATTGTGGCTAGAGGGTGGAAAAGCAGGCAGTGTTGAGGTTATCGCAAATTTACCAGGATTTCCAGACAATGTAAGGGCGAACGAGAAAGGTGAGTTTTGGGTGGCAATTGATTGTTGTCGAACAAGATCACAAGAAATTCTCATTCATAATCCATGGATGAGAAGCATATATTTTAGATTGCCAGTTCAAATGCGTTACTTAGCAAGATTGATGGGAATGAGAATGTACACTGTTATCTCACTCTTCAATGAAAATGGAGAAATTATTGATGTTCTTGAAGATAAGAAAGGTGTAGTTATGAAGTTGGTAAGTGAAGTTAGAGAAAACAATGGCAAGCTATGGATTGGAACTGTTGCTCATAACCATATTGCTACACTTCCTTACCCCTAATTATGGATTATAATCGTGTTTTTTTTTAATAATTAGCAAATTCACTTGTTCTTTACTTTATTCAATATAAATTCCCTTTACCTACTTTGAGTTATTTTTGTGGAAATAAATGAGACATGCATGTTGCTATCTTATTGTTTAAACAATCCGTTCCTCTTTAACTTGAGGTGGACCTATGTATAATATTGGAGGGTGATAGGACCCCGTAAATTTCGGCAGAAAATGATTATATAAATAATTTGTCACCTTTAACACTAAAAGTATTTAGGGGGCGCTGGTTCAACAGAATAGTGGTGCCTTTGTCGCGTAATAAAATCTTGAGTTCGCCTCTAGTCTTAACAAAATACCAAAGACTATGTGGCATCCAAGATCCTCATCCAACGAGCCTGTGAAGTGTTACCCTTTGCCTTAACTTACGTTACACAGGTCTATAATATACATAACTATTTGGTAATAATTTCACTCCAAGACATAGTATAATTGATCATATTTATAAATGGGGTTGAAGAATTTCATGTTTACGAAAAGCAATACATAAAGGAAAAGACTTCATTAGCAGAGTTTTCCGCGCTTTTATGTTTGGAGAGTATTATTCTCCAACCATACATTATAATTGCATTGAAGCAATAAACTTGACCACAATGTTTTCACCTTTTAGCCCAATCTTTACGTATTTGGTTTAATCGACTTTATATTAGCCATATATTAATTGACTTATTAACTATAATCTTTACGTATTTAGTAATAATACCAAAAATGGTACAAAATGTACAAACAATTTTTTCAACTGCTCAGCTTCAATAATCTGGTCTAGGATCATTTTCTTGACTTTTGGCTTGTCAAAAAGCCAAACAATTACGACAAAATGGAGTACGTTTCTTTTTATTCAATATTGTAACACTGACCTACCCAAAAAAAAAAAAAAAAACCTTCAAAA